CTTTTAAAAATTTATAATTGATATTAATAGGTTTGCTGGATTAATGAATGATCAACAATGTTTTTGTGGTAGTAGATATGGTAGAAAAGGTGTATCTACTTCATGTATTCTTCCTTGCACAACTGATTCAAGTAATTATTGTGGCAGCCAAGATGCAATGAGCATTTACTCAACTGGACAAAAAGGTATGTCTTAAAATTTTATATATTGTCGTTTTCCTTTTGACATTTACAAACTATAAAAATATATATATCTAGGTCCTAGTCCACCAAGAAGTGCGCAAATAATTCATAGTGGATCTAGTAGTTTGCAAATTATATGGGAACCACCTGATATTAGCAATGGAAATATTACATCTTATACTTTGAAAGCAGTGGTTCTTCAAACATTTGCTTCAAATTCAATACCTGCTATAGAAAGTCAAATACAAGGAGGAGCTTCAAATAGTACTATTTTGCAAGGCCTACAACCAGGTACAAAGTATAATATATCAATTAATGCCACAAATACTCAAGCAAGCAGTGAACCTGCATATATTTTGGGATGGACATTAATAGGCCTTCCTGATAAACCAATGATGCCAAAAGTAATAGAACAAACAAGTACTACTGTGACTGTTTTACTATCACAAGGAAATAGTGAGTATGGTCCAGTTAGTGCATATCAAGTATTTGTTGTTCAACCTGGTATAATACCTCCAACAAATTCCAACCTGACATACTATAATTATGAAAAGTCAATGCAACAAGGTTTAGAATATTATATTACTGGAGAATTTGAATCTTCTGAATTTCATAAATATAACAAATTTACAGTAGGAGATGGAAAAATGATTGGAGGGTATTATAATGCACCTTTAAATACACAAGTAATTCCTCAAATAGGCTTAATAGTGGTTTCTAAATTTCAAAGGGAAGTGCAGTATGCTTACTCAGATTTAGTCCATAAGGTGACAAGTTATAATGAGAATGGAAATGACAATATGGATTTAATTGCAATCACACTTTGTATTGCAATTGGTCTTTTGGGAGCATTACTTATAGCTTCAATAGTATTATATTTTGCATTACGACAACGCCATGAGAAATTTCGGATGAGAAAACTTCCAGAACAACAAGAACTTACATTACAAGGTCCATTATATGAAGTTGACAATTTAGCATACATTCCAGAAGATGTTCCTGAAAGGGTAAATCATTATCAAGAATTGAAGAAAAAAGTTTGGACTATACCACAAAGTGCATTGACAATTAATGATACTATAATATGTAGAGGACGTTTTGGTACAGTACATACAGGTGAAATTGAAAAAAATGGCATGTCCTCTACTGTAGCAGTTCATAGTATAGCTGACACATTATTAAAAGCATCTGACAAAAGACATATGTTACGAGAATTAGATGTTTGTATTAAAGCATCTCCTATGAAATATCTTGCAGATCTTATAGGAACTTGTGAAACACATGATACATTGTATGTTGTATTAGAATTGTCACCTCAAACATTAAAAAATCAATTGTTAGCTTCAAGGTCTGGGAATATATTTCCTATCAATCAAATTTTACCAATTGGATCTATGATAGCATCTGCTTTGCAACATCTTGAAACTTATAAAATTGTACATGAACATTTCTGTGCACGTAGTATAGGGCTTTCAAATGATTGGATACCTAAAGTAATGGGCTATGGAATTGGCAAATATGCTTTAGAAGATGTAAAATATACTCGATGGACTTCTGTTGAATGTTTTGGTAATAAAAAAAAACATCAATCAGGAGTAGTTTGGGCCTTTGGTGTACTCTTATGGGAAATGCTTAGTATGGGTGGTACACCATATTCTAATCTTTCTCTTGAAAGTGAAGTAGAAAAAGCAGTTCAGCAAGGAGTTAGATTACCGCAGCTACCAGATACTCCTGATCCACTTTATGAAGTTATGTCATCTTGCTGGAATGTAGAAAGTCAAGAAAGACCAACATTTGAAGAACTAACACGATTGGTAAATATCGTCTTTAAACACTAAAAATATGGAGATAAAATACTGTTTTATTTCTTGTGCTAATTATTCTGTTTTGCATTTTCAGGAAACCTTAAGCATTTGCCCAATCACAGCAATTACAGAACCATATATCCCAGATTTAGAATTAAATTAATGTTAATAAATAAGTGCTCATATTCTTATTGCATTCACATGATATGTATTGTACATAATAATCTCATTAAGTACTTTTACACTTTATTTTTATGTATTCTATAGTTACCATTGCATGTAATTTAGTACATAGAAGATTTTATATTTTTTTTATAATATTTTTTGTAGCAGGTTTTTATTTTATACTTTTACATTTTTTTATATGTCAAAGTACTATGCAAGTATTACTGATAACTCTTTCCGTCCACAATTTTTAAAATAAGATCGATAAAACATATGATTTTTATAAACTGGAAATTTCTACTTAAAAATCAACATAGTATAATAAAGGAGAAGAGAAATACATTCAGAGATCAGAAGTAATAGAATAAATGCTTCA